TTTTATTACTGGAGAGTTTTAACTTTTATAAAACTCTTAATGAAGCTCAGTGGTAGTTGACATTTTTAACCCTTTTCAGGCTCACCTCTGCAGTCACTCTGGAAAGCATATATCTATCCACCAAACCATTCAGTCCCTGACTTATGCTCCCTCAGCTGTGACTGTTACTTCTAATCTTAAATAAGAGATAAATATTTAACCTAACTGTACAGGTAGAAACATAATAATGTATTTTGGAGTTAGCAGAACCTGCACCTGTTAAGATAACCCAGAACTGACAACTCATTCAATTATATTTAAGATTATAACTGCCTTCTTTTTGTTTTGTTATTTAATCAAATTCTAGTCACTATATATTTAATGCAGTTGTTCAGGTTTTAAGAAGCAAAAAAAGGGTTTAAGCTCAAAAGTTAAAAACTTTAGATTCTCTGCAGTTGTTCCAGGTTTGCATGAAAGACCTGATTTCAAATATTTAGGTTACCACAACTTTGGTTAAGCTAAAAACCAACATAGTTCTTTCAACCTTTACAATGTTATCAATGATTTAAGACAAACATGAATTAAAATAAAGCTGATCAGTCTGATAGCAAATAAACCAAACTACATTTAACCCTTTAATATAGTTTAATGCATTTTATTCCCCTGTGCTTAAAAAGAGTTGAACGTTATTCTGGTTATTGCAAAGGAGCAGCTCACTTTTATACGCTCCCCATTTAAAATATTCAATTAAAGTAAAGTATTAATTTATGCCTCACAATTTGAGATTTCACTTCTAGAAAGAAGGAGTTTTTGTTTTAATTATCAACACTTTTCCACTTTGTGAGAAAATAGATTTTATGGAGAATGAAATTGGAGAATTCCCACTCAACAAAAAACCCATTTCTGTATTTTAAAGATCACAATGTTTATTATTGATTTTTTTGTATCACAAAAGAAGCTTTTCTTTCATCTGAGCAAAGACACATCGCAGATTATATATAAAAAAAACCTTTTAACTGCTGTATTCCTTAGAACTACTACTACTGTAAAGTTTTAATTTGGTGCTGCTGCAAAAACAGAACAACCAAACTATGGTGTTCAAGGCTGGCCGCATACCTTAAGAAAATGATTGATTAATTCACTTTATTGATCTCACAGTGGAGAAGTTTACCTGTTACATCAGCTCAAATAGTCAATGGGAAGTAATTGAAGTAATTTCCCTTTGGGATTATTAAAGTATTTCTGATTAAGCCTTTTTATGCTCTTAACCCTTTATAGGGCACTCAGTGAAATTTCAAGTGTCAGTGGAATCCAGGACCAGAGCTTATTACCTTTGTAACGTTCAAAAAATATGGATATTTTTCAAGGTTAAAATTTATGTCAAAGTATTAACAAGAAACTCCAACTTCCCCGAATATCTTAAGAAAAATAACAAAAGTGCTTCAAGAAGAAGTTCATGAAAAACACTGAGAGTGAAAGAAACACATTTTATTTAATCCAACATAACCTTAGAGGCATTAATGCTAAACCTAAAAATCATTGTTAACTCGGCTTATTAAATGTTTACTCTTTATTTTTTAACTATTCAATTAACTTTCTACCTTTTTCTCTTGACTTGTTAACTTTCTTTTTCTAACCTAATTTCCAGTAGGTAATCAATCATTCAAGGGATAATCTGATTGTTCAAATGCCAAAATTAAATGTACAGCCGTGTAGCAGGATCTATGCTGAATGGATGGACATAGATCTTGTGCTTCTAGACCTCACTGAGGGATGAGGGGGGGGTTCCATTTGTAAAGGGGCTGCAAGTGATCAATAAGGGTATTAACGGTAATAATACGTTGAATAGTGTACTTGGAT